GAATCGGACTAAATAATATCTCAAAAATCATATTGCGTTGGGAAATTGATGTCACGCGTTTCACATGTAGTAATCGAATCGAGTTGACTCGACCGAGTCGGATTCGTCAATTGGACTTTTAGTAGTTCAGGTTGACTTGCTCAGCCGACCAATGTCAAGGTCACATCACAAATTTTCACCCTAAAAATGTGGATTCGACAATAACAATTCCTTGAATTCAAAATCTTACAACTCTATTTAGGAGAATCGAAAGTAATTAACTAGAAATATTTTTTTAAGAATAAATCATATGTTAATTTGGAATAAGAAGATTGTTTAAACAAAAGGGATTGAATTGTTATCCTCATTATCAATTTTTTATATTTCAAATTTATTTATCTCCAATATGATTGTAATCTTTTTATTGTCTTTCCTTAAAAATGCATTCCAAAAAAATTGATTAGTGCATTGTTGTATAAGTAATAGGTTTCATATTGTAATTAATACATGTGTAAGTATCATAAACATCATTAGACATAAATATTTTTTTAAATTTAAAAATAGAAGAAAAAAAATGTCTTCTCAATTTGAAGGCATCCTTCAAAGAAAAAAACATTTTTTTCTTTCCTCAAGGAAACACTTTTGTCTTCCTACATCTCAGTATCTAATGCATGTTCTGTGTCACAGGGACTTCCATTGTTGAGGAAAGCACCTTTTTAGGTTCACTTCCACATTGCATACTCTCTTCAGAGGAAATTTCTTCCAGTTCTTCACAGTGACTCGAATGGATTCAGAGTCTCATCCTGGAAATTGCCACTCGAAAAGATTGTGATTCTTCATCTGGTACATGCTTTTGGTTGTTTCAAACTTTATGTGATCGGTGGCATCTTCTTTCACTTAGGTAACATATATAGCAGGCATATATTCCATTCTATTATGGCTGTCTATTTCTCAAACCACATGAAGAGTCAAAACTTGATCACAAGCAAGCTAAATGCACGGCTTGTGTTTGTAATATAGCCTCAGTCAACTGCGAAGGAATGGCGGCTGTTATCACATCAAGCACCAAAAGGCACTGAGATCTCCGACCATGCGTACAGCTTGTTGATGCGTAAAGGGAGGTAGGAATTGCATTTGTTTGAGCCAACAAATTCCAGCCTGGGGACAAAGGAATCAGAATGTTTCTATTGGTTCCATTTCTTGCAAGATTATACCGAGTAGGAGAAGGAAAAGCCAGACGGTGGGATATTGGTGAGGTCCTCGAAAGAAAGCAGGAAGTCAAACGAGGCAAGGATGGGAGCATGGTGCAGAAGCCTCATCAGAGAATAAAGCTCGGCTCAGTCTACACTTTTGTGCATCAAGACTTGTTATGTTTTCCAACCCCAAGAAATGTCAGCTTAAGAAGAAGGAAGAAAAAAGAGGGAGATTCCCTTTCTCCGGGAGGACTTCATCAGTGATCGATTCTAGACTCAGGTTTTTTTTCGTGAAAAGCCAATTCCAAGCTTGACATGTAAAACTCAGAGATGTGCTTTGACACCAAGGATCATGATCTACCCACCATGGAGTCATGTATGCCAAACCCAACCCAACTCAGTCTGGTGGAGAACTCGAAGCAGGTCTTCAAAGACACAGCAGGCCTGACCCATGAGCCGAAACCGGTTAGCTTCGGACAGGCCTGCTGATCAAGATTTTATGACAGACAATTCGATATACTACAGTACATGCAGATTGCTAGCTAATCTACTCTCCAATTTAAACCATGCAGACCTGCTTCAGAAGCGAACACCATGTCAGAAGGGCCTTCGGCTCGACCAACAGCAACCAGAAAGGTGTCCTCAAAAGACAAGAACAACTCAGAGATGTAAGCACACAGAGACCAGCTTTTCTACAGCTACACTGTTGGTGATATCTTGGACGCCATGGCCATCAGCTTTTTTCGCAATTGCATTGCTTGAAAGCCATTCATGAAACCACAACCAACGGCAAGAACCCAGAGAGAGAGAGAGAGTGCTGTTTCTTGTCCTTCACTTGGACCACCCCAAAGGCCCGAAGAGAGCAGAGGGACGGTCGGCGAACAGCATTTGGACCAGTGAGTGTCTCCCTGATGGCTTTGTTTTATATTTCTTGTTCGTTTCACGTCATAATGCTTTTAGGTGGGTGAGAGAGAAAGGAGAAGATAAGGTGCGAGGTGATAAGGTACGGATTGAAATATATGACGTTGATGGGAAGAAGTACCCAACACGTCTCTTAATGGCTTCCATGTTGCCAAGTTCATTGATGGTTGAAGGAAAGGAAAAAGATGTTTGCATGCAACCACTCCTCCATTTCTTCTCCAATATATATTAACCATCATGTTAATTGATAGGAGTGTAAATGAAACTATTTCTAAACTTGAGTTGTGAAGATAATTCTTAAAAAATATAATTTTTAGTTAAGCAAAATTAAGATTAAATATATGAAATGTAATTTTAATACTAGTAGAAATATGTATGAAAATACAATTAGGTTGGATGATGAAGAAGTTACTTTGAGTAAAAAATTTGGTTGTTTTGAGTTATTTATATAATAAGATTGAGAGATTGATAAATATATTATTCGTAAAATAAAAATAAAATTATTAAAATGATAAGAAGTATCGATCATAGGGTATATTTGAGATTAAAAATAATTATAAGATAGTCATTAAATCATCGATATTTTATGGATTTAAATATTCGGTAGTAAAAAAATAATATATACAAAAAGTTTATGTTATTGAGAAGAAAATATTTAAGTGAATAAATAGAGTTACTTGAAAAGACAAGAAAAAATATTTTTATTGGTAAAAAATTGGGTATCATTTTAATAAAAGATAAAATAAGAGAATCATTTAAATATTAACTTAGTATATCTACAGAAAGTTAGAAAATGTGAAACAATTATTAGTGGTACAATAAAATATAAAGAATAATAAAAAAATATTAACAGAAACTATAAATAAATATTCAAATAAATATATGATATTTTATCTATCTCATTGACAATGACGACAGAAGATACAGATAATTGATCCCAGTATTGTTGTATCAACCTTGTTCATCATCAGCTAGATTGACATTGTTGAAGTTTGGATCAATTACTAGGCAGTAATATTTGTTGTTCTCTCTCTCTCTCTCTCTCTGCTTTTTCTGTGTTCATGGCTGTGCATGGAGAATGACTGCTCAAAACTCTTCAACTTAGGGTTACTCAGAAAAAAGAATGTACAGTGCACTAACATTTATCTGAATTGTTTCCTCTGATTTATCTCCTTTAAAATAAATTTTAGAGGAAAAAAATGTAGATAACAAAACATAATAACTCTTGAGAGTATAAGTTAACTCTAAAAAAGATCACAGAAGCTCTGATTAATCTATTAGTTGCCAGGACAAAAAAGCTTTGTTCTCCTCATCACTACAGTTGACTATTTATTATGGAATCATGATGAGATTTAGGTCTTTAGATAGGTGAAAATAAATTTTATGATAACATGAGAATTTGTCAACACCAAAATCTTTAGGCATTACTCACTTTATATGATCTGCCCCAGAGATCAGATTAGCTTTTAAGAACCCTATTCAATGACACTGGTCCCCTACAAGTCATGTCCAAGTTCTGCTCATCTGCTAATGCAATCTATATAGATCAACTGATGAACATCCACTTTATTTGGATGCAGGTTTTGTGTTCTTCTCATGAGGAGTATGCAATGATAGAATTAGTAGGACAGCTTACACTACATAGTGAGCAACAAATAGTAAGAAAAATGTTTTCCTTTAAAAATACTTCAAGAATAGAAAACCAAAACATGTTTTGGAATCAACATCATCGACTTGTGGCATTTCTAAATATAAGAGGCAAAAATAGCAGAGTCGTTTTCAGTTCTGATTCTTGTTTTCTACATCATCTAGCTTGCACAATTATAAGAAAAATGCAGTAATTCTTTTATATAAGGCAAAGAAGACTCTTTCTTATGCTACCAATAAAATGGAAGGGATCTGCACACTAAGACAAAAGAATGGATAAGAAACTCTCACAGTAGCGGCAATCCACAGAAAAAATGAAAGAAAGCCCCCAGCAACAAGAAGAAATGATTAGGGTTCTTGGGACTCCGGAGAGTGGCCCTTTCAAGAAATGATGATGAGATAAGAGATCAATGCCTAAGAGAGAAGAGGAGCAGAATTAGGGTAACAATGGAGGAGTTGCGGTCATAGGAGAAATCATCTTGATGAAACAAAGAAGGGAGGTGAAGAGAACTGGAGGATATATGGTGCAGTGATCGATGCAGAACTTGGATGGTTGCAGTGTGTCATGCAATCCCTCCATGACCAAAAATACGAGATGCAGGTTGCACCAAAACGTAAGAAAGAACACAGAGAATCTTCATCGACATCACCAAAAAAGGATCCTCGTACATGATCTAAAAACTCATGAAATGTGTACATGGTGATCCAGCCATGCATGCTGACCCAAACAAGAACAAGACCATCAATCTTTTCCGCATGAAACAAGCTTTGTTTCACTTGTGACTCCTCATTTCCATTTGAGTTGCTGCCGCGTTATTTTCCCTTTGCATGTGAGCTCAAGGTGGTGAACTTGCAGTCAACTCTTGGTTGCTCTCAAACGAAAGCAAACAAGATAGACATTGGTGTTGAGGACCAGAATATGAGGCAGGACATGGAAGGATCATATGCGGGCATATATCGTTCCCATTGAGCTGAGCTGTCAGATCTATGCAAAAAACAAGGGTGAGAATGGCTGTCTCAGTTGGCAGAATCGTGCAGCCAATACTAATGTATTACCAGTTGACATTCTCTTAGAAGAACTGAATCAAGAATCCATTGTGACATTGAGAAAGAAGCAGAGTTATGGCAAGTAAAGATATGATACAAAAAACATTAGTTCCATATATTTATTATAGTATATTATTTTATATCAAAAAATGGAAATTGTAGATCCAAACTGTAATATAAAGCCTTGCCACTGCACTGGTATTGAGCACTGCAGGCAAAAGGAAGCTCGAAAGGCCACCAGAGAGAGATACTCCTTTCACTTTGCTTTTTTGTCGTCAATTATTCCTCTGCTATCATCTGATAGATTGATACAACTCCAAGTCCGACCCCTCTTCTCCTCCTCCCTTCGCCCATCCCTCTGCTCTTTAGTCCCTCAGCATCCACTCTTCTCTCCTCCACAGTGACGGGTGGAGAACCGATGGATGTTGATTACTTAGCCTCAGCCACAGCAGCTCCAATGGATCCGATGACCGTAATGATGGAGATGGAGATGGAGAAGTTGAGCGAGTTGTCCAAAGCAACATTGATGCCGTCGGTTAGCTACTCCGGTGGTCTCTCTCAGCCATTCCGCAATGCTTCTGCTGCCACATCTCATGCGCCCTCCTCTTCGCTTGCGCCTTTCAGTGGTCATCATCAGGACCAGCACACGCCTATGCTGACAAACTCCCCGACCGGCGCCGCATCGTGGCTTGAAGATCCCTACCATGGCTGCTGGTGGCCACCGGCGGCTGCCATGCGGGAGATGATATTTCGCATTGCGGCGATGCAGCCGATTCACATCGACCCGGAGTCGGCGAAGCCTCCGAAGCGGCGGAACGTGAAGGTATCGAAGGATCCCCAGAGCGTGGCCGCCAGGCACCGGAGGGAGCGCATCAGCGAGAGGATCAGGATACTGCAGCAGCTCGTGCCCGGCGGGACCAAGATGGACACGGCGTCGATGCTCGACGAGGCGATCCACTACATGAAGTTCCTCAAGAGCCAGGTGCAGGCACTGGAGCAAGCAGCCGCCGCAAACCAGAGCACCGGATCCGTGGCCACCACTGGCCTCTCCATGACCGGTGCAAAGTTCTGGGAAGGCAGCTACTACTGCTTCGACAAAGACTACGAGGCATCAGATCAGGGGATCATTATGAACACTCCATCACATGCTGAGCTCAATAAAATGGATAGTTAAGCTGAGAAATGGATTGTGCAATGTTGAGGGACTATTAGGTTTCCAGGAGAAGAGTCGTCGTCGTCGTTGTTGTCGTCGATAGATCAAACCGATGTGCATCGATCTCTCTATCTACCTAATGTTATCATCCTTATGAAACATAATCGTGTGGTCAAGCTGATTAATGATAAGCTAATTACTACAAACGATATCATAATTCTCTATCTACCTAATGTTACCATCCTATATCTCATGTTCCATGGATCTTATCTCTGTTCTACTCATCGTCATGTAAAGTCCATGACCTCTCTCTTTCGCTACGCATCCATGACATAGAAGGACATCGACTGCATTTTTATATGTTATCTTTATCTGACAGATTGATTTGCTGGGATCTGAAGTTTTCTTCTTCCCTCTCTTGCCTGTGGGAGACAACCTCGTGCAGCATCTGATTGTTTACAGCAGACCAGAAACCATAACGGGATAGGGGACTGCAGATCCAATCTTGGTCGGTTTTACCTGTCGTCTTCCCTCTAAAATACACATACAATAAACAACGGTGCATTCACAAAATAGTGCCACCATCGTCTGTGGGTAGTATTCAACCAGAAAGAAAGGCGAGAGAGGGAAAACACGGAACGCCGCATGCCGCTGTTGGATGCTCGACGGCAAAAGGAAGGGGTACGTACATCGAGGGACAGCGGCAGCAGCATCGAGATCTCCGCCGTGGAGGAAGACGAAGACGGAGCTCTTTTGCATGTGAGTTCCACGCGAATGAGGTGACGTCACGTCAGGCACGAGGACAACGTGAGGAAGGACGTCGCGGGGTTGGTCGACGGATTGATTCGAGGCATGCGGCCGGGCCCCACGCGGTATGGGTCGTGCTGTTTCGCGAATGGCGAGATCTTGGATCGATCCTGAGCAATGAAGACAGGATCTAATTCATTGACTCGCTCCACTAGCCGAACAGGTCTTCACATCTCTCTCTCTCTCACACATTCACACATTCCTTCGACACAGTCATTTGTTATTAATTTACAATTTTAATTTATTTTTGTTATTTTTTGTTTTTGTTTAATCTTAGGTTTTGTAGACGTCTATAACATCAAACCGTCGCATGCAGCCATCATAAGGATGGATCATCATATCAATCAACAATCAACATCGCATAAATACTCGTACTTCATAATTTTGTGAACAGACTACGACCGAGATTGCCAAGATCATCTTTGTATTACAGTACCCACAAAGTGTCAGTTGATATCTACTTGTAAGATCCCAAGGAATGGGAAACATACCCAAATCCAGCTCCACAAAAGATTGGCATGAACACAAGGAAATGATGGAGCGCTACAGTGTCACCCCTAGATTGATGATAGCAGTGAGCAAATGTTTTAAAGAGACTATCCGTGTCCGAATAGCTTCATGCAGCATATCCTTGCAAGTTTAGCTATTCGAGTATTTAGCCCCATGGGAATATCACAAACAAGTAATCACCAGGAGGAAGAGTGCATCTTGTTTCAGTAGGGTCTGTACCTCAAATTCATTCTTGAACTACTGCTGCTCCCGCTGGCACCATAACCATACTGCAAAAGAAACGGAGAAGAACATGTCTCTTAGGAGTTCATTATTCAAGCCAGCTGCTCCAAACATGAAGTCAGCTTGAAGTTGCTCCCTAACTATAATTGAAAACCAACTGCATGCCATATATACTCACATCGTCGAAATTCAGGCTACCATAGAGCCTGCCATAGTTTCTCATAGGACCGTACCCTCTGTAAGCCTCAGCAGCATCCATGAAACCTCCACTGGGACCAGCGTCATCAAGTGGTGCTGCTGAGTCGATGGCAACCTACTCGAAAGAAGAATAGAAACAGTAATCAGATGTGATATCGTAGGGAACCATACCATGAAACATTATAGAGATTATTTATTATAACTAAAAAGAGGTACAGAGAAGGCTTTAGTTTGACAGAAAAAAACGAACTACTAATGGAGTTAGCCGTGTTTCTCTAGTGCCTACAGAGAGTAAGGAATCCAGGCAAAAGATCATCAATCTCCGCAGCTCGTTCCCAATTCAGGCATATGTTTGTTACAAGCTCACATCTGTTGGTTCCAATTAGTGAGGTCCAAAGTGCAATTTTTCAGAAACTCAACTGTAACTTAGGTTTCTGCCTAGACCATCTGTGCCACTCAATGCCATTAAGACAACACCATCAAGGCTTCCTCTGCTCCCAAAGCAGATATGAGCTCAGTCACACTAATAAGCTTCTTTGAATTTCACGAAATGTTTCCCAAGCAAGACTAGTAGAATTTTATAAAAATCAAGTTTCTCTGTATATATGAATTGTGAGGACAACAAAAAAAGGTCAAGTAACTATATGAATTCATAAATCAACAGCAGGAAGTATCAGAAGAAATATACATGACACGAAAAAAACAAAGACGGGAAAAATGAAAAAGAAAAGTATAATGTAGGAGAAACAAGGACTGCAGAGCCAGCAGCAAATGGTCCACAACTGTTTCAAATAAACTTATGATTTAAAAAGTCTAAAAAATCTCATAGTTAAGGATTCTAGAAGATATTTTGAAATTAAAAAAAACTGAGACCACAAATTTTAGTCCTGAGGTTCATAAATCGCAACCCATAATATACAACTATATTTTTAACTGTCATAAATGCAAGGGGTATTTCACAGATTTTTTATTCTATCATTAGTCTGTCAACAGTCAACAAAAGGGCTTTCATGAAATTCTTTTTAGAAGATTGGAAGGCAGCTCTAACAATTGCAAGTTCCACAGGTGTCTTAGAAGATAGGGTGTGGACGTACATAAAGAACTCCCCCATTCCTTAAAGTACATGACTAGTCTGTCGACCGTTGCCAGAAGGTAATAGTCAAGATCTCGATATGTTTTCAGCTTACCTCGATCAAGCTGCTAAGTAGAATTACCAATTTGCTATAATCAAAATTTTAAGCAGCACATATCAATAGCAATTTACATATTAAAACCATATGACGTGCTCTTCAAGGTATACACAACATATTTTCTAATATAAACTATGTTTAAGTAGTTCTAGGATAAATTCCATGAGTAAATCAAATGAATATGAACAGTTAACAGACAGAGAGGGCATTATTGTTTACACAATTACTAAATTTGTGAGAATTGATATCACATCTAAACAACACCAAGCAAGAAATAGATAGTATTTTCATAATCAAACATTTACTGCTTCCAAAAATGCAATTTAATTTGAGAAACATCTTTCTTTGGAGAAAAATAAAATCCTTTTAATATTCAGTAACATACACATGATAATCATAAAAATCCACATCATCCTATCATGTACCTCCTGTCCAAGAATTTCATGTGTTCTGCGAGAGACACGATCCACTACACCATCATCAGCAAACGTCACAAAACCGAAGCCTCGATGACCACTTCTTTTAGGATCCTGGTAATGGTAAAGCAGCAATTATGAAAATTAAAAGTTCTACTAACCAAAACTGAAGAATGCAAAAGGTACCAAATTAACCTTTGGAACATAAACATCCAAGATATGTCCAAATTTGCCGAAGTACTCGCGCAGATCTTCAGCACTTGCATCCTGGGGAAGTCTGCCAACAAATATCTTTCTGCCCATCCCACGCGAAGGTCCAAAATATCCTCCTAGATCATTAACAAAGGAGTTTCTATTTTATTTGACGTCAGAGGTGATCACTCTGTGAATATTGCTTAACTTGAAATGTGACACATACTTCCATATGCAGAACCAAAGTGATCATACAGTGTTGGAGCACCAAGAGCGGCATACCGAGTTGCTGCTGAAATATATGCATTGTATGCACCATATCCACCTTGTGCCATTCTGCTTGGATATCTCATATCATCGTTCTATGTAAAACAGAAAGCAAAAACTTTTTGAGGCATAAAAGTTTAATATATGGAACACACAACATTCATCATTACAACTGACAAAGGAAGTGATCTCCAATTTCTGATTCACAAACTCCCATTACAAACAGACATTACCCTAGGAGTAGCACGGTCAACAACTACCGTAGAACCATCAAGCTCATGAGACTCTGCCATTATGGAATCCACCGAATCTGTTCATTTGAGAAGGCAATATACGATCACATATTTAATAGACTAAAAAGCACTAGATGAAATCAGCTATTGGAGTGCGCTCATGCAGAACATCCATTGCAAAAAAGCTGCTGGATTCATTACAAGACTAAACTGAAGGAAGATTCATACTAAATAATGGGCATGATAATGGAGATGCAGGTTCTTTAGGGCATAAAAATCTTACCCAAACTAACCATTGTGTAGTAGGCAATAGTGTACATGCATGTACATAGCTGTGAAATGAAGAAACAGTTTCAAACAGCTTGTTGTTTTCTCCAAGTTTAGCTTAACAAGCATTCCTTGCGCTCATTTAATAAGAATAGGACTAAGAGGAAGATAGTTTTAGAGAAAAACGTAGCAACTCACTGTGAAAATAAAATATCGTGTCTTAGGATTTCTTGCACATAGATAACAGGGTAAATTGAATTATACACTTAGTTCTGAGTGGGGTGTGCATATTACAATATTGTCGTATGTATTTTTAGGACAGATGCAATAATCTAGTTTGTGAAAAACTGGGTTGCAGCACACATCTAAAAATGAATACTATTTGCATTGAATATTCTAATGCTAATTAAAAAAACAATGAATATTATGCACCAAAAGTCAACAACATAAAGTTTATTATGATGGTAAAAGTTGAAGGGCTTACAAGCATAGGTGTCGTTCTGACAATCTGAATTCTATACTTATCTTTCCCAACTTTAGTAAAATACATGAGGTGGTCTCAGCATTAACCAGGATGTAGCAATCCTCAACAAGGATCAATGCGTAATGCATTAAACCCATGCCAAATAGTACTAAGCAAATCAAATAGCATTGGCAACATGCCTCATCAATATTTTAAAAATGGATAACTATACAAGAAACTAGGGATAGGGAGATGAGTGGAGTGTTTACAAAACCTCTTATCTCAAGACTTAAAACAAAGATGAAGTAGAAAAAATAACATCATTATTTACAATGTCAAAATTACAAATGACGCAGGATATTGTTACTTGCATGCTAAGGAAAATTATGCAACCTATTCACCTAATGATTTACCAAAGAGAAAGTACATAGAAGCATCCATGATTAGAAGTAGGACTTCCTTGCAACTATACGACATTCATTAGGGAAAGAAACAAAGTTGTATTAACGAGGCTACTACAAGCAAGTTA